AAAAAAAAATCGTTTTCTTTTTGCTACTTAAGGAAATAAAATTTTGAATTATGTGTCAAGGATTCCTATCCTGTGTGGTCTTGAATGACCACAGAGCTCTCTGAGTGTCCTCTGGATGTTGGTGTGGATGTAGGGATAGGGTTTGGCTGGGGGCACAGAGGGGTATCCCATCTGCCCTCCTGTGGTAGCTGCTGCTTCTGACTCTGGGCAAGTTACTTTTTCTCTTCAAACCTGTATGTTCCTGGTCTATAAAAAGTGAATTATAATAAATCCTCAGAGGATAAGATGAGCTAAGAATGTATGTAGGGGGCCACAGTGCTTGGCATGATAAATGGCAGGTGGTTATGCTGATGCCAATATTATTTCTGTTATTAGTGGAGCCCAAGTGTTAGCCAGTTCAGCAGCTAGATGTGCAAGGGGGGATGAGGTGGGAATATCTGTCTTCTAGAGGCTTGTGGCCAGTAGCAGGAAAGACAGGTACCCTGTTCACCCTAATGCCAGATAGAAATGGGATAGATACTAAAGATGGACATCAGCATGTAGAGATTTTCAGAGGCGAGAGAGTTGGTGATGAAGAGAGCTTCTGTTTGTTGAGTCCCTCCATGTTTAGTTCATTGGGTCCACCGTCAGCTCTCTAAGAGACTTATTTATCATCATCCCTGTTTTATACACAAGGTACCAATCGCAGAGAAGGGAGCAACTCCCTCCAGGGTCACACAGCAAACGAGTGGCAGCAACCAGTGCTTGAACTCAAGTGTTCAGCCTGGGCTCCCCACGTCATGCCAAGCTTCCCGCTGCCCAGGCCTCCCCTTGGTTCTACCCTCCTGCTCTCAGTAGCTTGGCCCTGGCTGAGTCCCCTTATGTATGGCTTATTTCTCCACCTTCCTACTTGGATGTGGAATGGTTAAGTAGACTTCCAAGTAGGGGCAATAAGAAAATCCTTCAGAAAGGAGGTGCCCTGGAGATGGGAATGCTGGGGAAGGCATTGAGAGGAAGGGAGGGTAGCACTCTGTGGATATCCCATGTGGATGCCCTGCTAGCCCTGCTGTTGGAAGCTCTGGAAACAGAGAGAGTGAGCCTTACTCCTTCTTTAATCCTAAGGGTTGCCACCACATGGGCTGGTCCATAGCTCAGTAAGGATTTGCTCAGGAGATGTGAACTCAAAGCCAATAGTGTCCCAGAGCAAATGCCTAACTGTTCAGAATAGAGCTGGGAAGGCTACCACTTCAGACCAAGCTGGAGAGTGTGATGGTTAGATGATTGTCCTTTGAGATGGAAAGAGTCAAGCCATGGTCCTGGGCCAGGGACCATGCACATTCTCTGCCATCAGTGGAATTTGGAGTTCTGTGGGCCTCATTCAGAGGCTGGGCTGGAGCTGCTCTAGGGTTGGGCCTGGGGAGCAACCAGCCGTCCACCCTTCCACTATGGAAGGAGAATCTATTGGGTGTAGCTACTATGTTAGGTGCTACTAGGTGTACAGAAATGTCTCATATCCCTGACTTATCCTCAAGGAAGGCAGCATGGCATACAGTTAAAATGTGGGCTCTGCAGTTAGACCCCCTCGAGTCCCTGCATCTCTCCTTCCTCCCCATATGATCTTGGGTCATTTTTTTACCACCCTTTGTCTCAGTTTTTTCATGTAACACTGAGAATATTAACCATAGCTTCCTCACAGGTTTTTGATAAGGATTAAATTAATGATGCATGTAAAGCACTTTAGCTCAATGCCAGGCATATAGCAGGTACTCAATAAATTTTAGTTGTTGTTACTACTACTTTTATTAGCACCATTCCAATTTGACTGGGTGAAATAGGTATAGGAACATTAAATGAATAGATAATGAAGTAACCCAGGATATGGCATGTGCTAAATTTTCAGTACCTCTTAGAGCATGTTAGTATATGTTAGAATGTACTTGAATGTAAGCTTCATGGGGTTAATGATTTGCATTTGTTTGTAGTATTCCCAGTGCAAATAAGCTTGCTTGGCACATAGTGGAATTCAATAAATATTTGTAGAGTGAATGTTTCCAAAGCCAAGCTCTTTCCTGCCTCAGGGCCTTTGCACATGCAATCCCCTCTTCCTGGCATGCTCTATGGTAAACTCTTCTCTTACTAAAGTTTCTCTCATTCTTTAGGGCACTTCTTCAAAAGGCCTTATCTGGCCACCCATCC